GAGTGGGTCTGAGAAGTCACAGGTTTGCATAGTAGGCAACTTAGAGGTCTGTTAGTGGAGTGCACAGCACGGGGTGTTAGGAGGAACTGTTGGAGGCGGGTCCCAAAGGGTTTCAACCAAATACAACTGAACAGTCTTGAGATCTAGAAGGGGCTCCAGCAGTCAAATGCAGGAGTCCCACGAGGGTTACTGTCCCCTGTCCTGTGAGGTTTTAAAAAAAAAAACTAAAAGAATAAAACCACAGTCAAAGACAATAAGCTGACTGCTTTGGAGACGGGCGTTTGTTTCTGAATGGCCTTAATTTCCCAATCTGTTGATGCGAGGGACTCCGAATAGGGCACGTGGGGAACGGAAAAGCGAGTGAAGCTAAGGAAAGGGCGGTTAGTAAGGCTACGGGGTTGAATCACACTGTGTTCATCAGCAACATGGCATGCGTACCAACTCTTCCTATTTCCACGTGGCTTCCAGCAAGCACGCACACTGTCCCCCAGACCAGCCTCACAGCATCAGGGAACGGGGTCCCGCACCTGCGTGGGACTCCCGGGCACTTCTCCCCTGGGTCTGTCTCCTTTCTTCCTGGGAACACTCCTGACTGAACAGCAGTGCCCTGCCTTCCCACCATGGCTTCAGGCCTGGGGCTTCGGGGAGAGGCGGCCTTCAGCGGCTCTTTATGTAGGGAGCACTTGGTTTCATGTTTAAGGAGAAAAAGGAATTTTTGAAAAACTTCCATCTATATCAAGCCCTCCTATGTCCCCTGAAACATCAAGCTCTGATCTGCTGTAGGAACTACTTGTCACAGCAGCACACAAACGTCACGGCCCCTCCTGGGGACCAGTCCTGAGAGCATCTTCGGAGACAAGCAGTCTTCTCGTCGGACGTGCTCCCCCGCTGCCGGCCTCAGCTGATGGCTTCTCTCTCTGTTCAGCAAGCACGGCCCAACCCAGAGCTGTCTCTGTGGGCTCCCACCTCCTGAAGCACTTCCTGTTTCTATCAATTCTCCAGTTCCCCGGACGCTGCTAAATCAGTTTAATGCCACAACTTACCTCACCTGAGTCTGGGGCCAGATGCGTATGCAGAATCTGTAGGGCAGGACTAGCTTAATTCCTTCTTGAGAAGAATTATCTTTTAATTACTTTAAATCATCTGAATGGACTTAGCATAGACATTCTCACAGTTTTCTCCATAAACCACCTCCCCTTTTCCCTTCAAGCACGGAGTATGACTTTACCTCAGCACCTGTTAGACCACCTCTGGGTGTCCCAGGTCAGTGCACTGGGCCCAGGGCTCATCTGAAACACGTTTTCTGAATTATCACAGTTTTCACTTAGAAATGTATAGAAAGGAGCCTTCGTGAATTGTTTTACCAATTCTTCATGAACTGAATGATAAATTCTCTGGACATGTGAGAAACTGCTGGATTGAGGATACTTTTCCACATACTTCTCTGAACTGAGTACCACCCTAAGTGTTTTCGTCCAGCCTCGCAATGGAAAAGCAAGGGCTGGGAGAGTGACTAATTCCAAGGGCGCGTGGCGGATACGTCAACAGCAGGTCCTGACATGTACCCAGATCTTCTGCTCCTTGCATGACACACAGGGCTCTCAATGACCAACATGCAATGAACTTTTGAAATGTTCCTTAAAATTAAAAGACACAAAAATTAAAAACTCAGGTCCTTTTCACTTCTACTTCTACTTCTGTATGTCTCTGTGGAACTAATCAAGTTCTGCTGGTTTGTTTCCTTTTTTTTTTTTTTTTTTTAATGAAAGGACCCTCTTTTGCTTAAGTTCCTTAGAAGCAAGACAAATACTGCTTGTCCCCTGGAGAAGATGCCTTCTGGGCAGAGACCGCAGCTCAGACTCTGCATCACTGCACAGCTAAGCAGGCTGGGCACGTAGGGGACGAGGATGATGCTGAGAAGACAGTCCTTGGGATTCCAAGACAGAAGCGCACTCAAGCCGAGTGTGGGATTAGTGATAAAGGCTGGCTTGTTTCCTCTGAGTTTATACGCTGATGCTGGTCAGAGTTTCCAACTTCAAGAATCGACTGATGTGGAACAGTTGAGATATTTACAGACAGAAACTGCCGTGACACGGTCAGTACGGACTGCTTACAGCTCTGCTCAGTGCTGGAGAGCATGGGGTCCCGTGGGGACAGAAGACCCTTCACGAGGGATGACTCTACTGCGGCTGTGTAACCGCACACGCTGTCATGACTCGCAGCTCCACGTATCTGTACTTGCTTTTAGCCAGTGCAGTGTTGTCCCTGCCATCTCCCTGCTGCGGTGTCTGTGTGGCAGCGTGGTGACAAGTCACACTGAGGGGAAGATGGAAGGCCATCTCCCAAGGTCAAGCCTCCAGGTCCAGTCCTTCCCACAAGACAGAGAAGGACACGTCACAGCCAGTCTTCACAGGGTCTGACGAGGACATTCACCGAGTCCAAGGCTGAATTTCCACCATTGGAAAAGATGCGTGAATTCTGTGGTAGTGGCTCCATGACCTCACTCAAAGTCTAAAACTGCCTAGATGAGCCCTCAGCCCTCCACTTAAGAAGTCCACACACTGGCTACTCAAATCAGTATTTACCGGCCTGAGTGCATAGGCTGGATACTGGCTACCAATTTAATCCATGAAAATAAGACAAGTTTATGTTCATTTTTATGGCTAAAGAAAGAAGGTCAGGTAGCTAGAAATACTCAGAGCTCTGAAAAACGGAAAGAAGAACGCAGATGGTGATGTGTCTGGAAAATGGAACCACAGCTGTTTCTTACAACAAGCAGACGAACAAACACCAGATGTCTACTGTGACTAAGACAACATCTGTGGAAAACACCAGCGGCACAGTCAGGTACCGTTCGGGCGATCAGACTCGAACGCTTGACACCTGAGAGGAGACATGGCAGGCTGCTGGGCCCCCCACACCTGGCCTCGAGCAGAGTCCCTGTGGCTTGGGAGCACGGAGATCCCACCCGACGGGAGTCTCCCTCCCACCTGGGAGAGGTGCAGAGTGAGCCCCGCCCCTCCAGGCCCAGAAGCCGGGGATCCAATCGCTCCTGGAGGTGTGCCCCTGCAAACTGGCCGGAGCCAGGGGAAGGAGTTCTCTTTGAAAACACCCCCTGGATGTAAGCATGGAAGATGGCGGCCTCCGCAGGGGACAGTAATACAGCAGGGATCCAGCCACCGCGCTGAGCACAAAGGGGCAAATCCACAGCACGGCCTGTCTCTCCATCCAAACCTGTTCGCTCTCGTTTCCCGCGTGTTCTTCACAGGAACTCGTTGAACGCTCCGGCGTCAGCGTCCCATCCCTCTCCAGACTCAAGCCCCAGAACCGATTAGTTTCAGCTATGGGGGGGTGGGGCTGGGGGTGTGGACATAAGCTGTTACAAGACAAACGAAACCTGGCATTTAGGAAAACTGTGCATCAAGGAGAGACATGAAACCTCAAAGCTCAACCAGGCCCTTAACTGCAACCCACCCTGGTTACGTTAGGGCTGACGGAAGACACCGTGGAAAGCACCCATTTCACCCTAAACCTACATCTTCAGTCATTCTTGAGAAGGTTAAGAAACAGGAAACCATACACACACGCACATACACACACGCACAAGATCTACTCCAGCGTGCCTACATCTAAACAACATAGCATTAAACGAAAATCAAACCCACTGCCGGCAAGTCAGTTCCACTCAGGGACCTGACAGGACAGAGTAGAACTGCCCCTAAGGTTTCGTAGGCTGTAAATCTTTATGGAAGCAGACTGCCACATCTCTCTCCCTCGGAGCGGCTGGTGGGTTTGAACCACTGACTTTTAGGTCAGCAGCCGAGCACTTCACCAGTGCGCCACGAGGGCTCCTTAGCATCATATAATCCTGTTACAGTCTGGCATGTTGTTATGCAGGCTTGATTCCACCAAGTCAGACCACAGTTCCCAACAAGTTAGGGACACAGCATGGAAGTATCATAAAACCACCTGTAGGAGGTGCCCGTCCCGTCCTCCACACCAGTGTGAGGAAGACCTGCTGGAGGAGTTACAGGTGTGAACTGAAAACCACAAACACGACAAGTTACCCAAACTCCTAACAGTCCTCCCACAGCTAGGGAAGATATTAAAGCTGTTCTCTTTGGGGCCCATTACCATCAGCAGAAATGAAAATGCAAGAGGCTGATTTCCCCATTTGGAAGAAAACCACAGCATCAGACAAAATGAGAAGCGTGGGGTTTGGACGTGGCTCTTACGTGGCACACGCAGGCTGGGCAAGCTTCCTGGCTAAGAGCAGCCCTGCTGGCCGTCTCAGGGTGATGGCGAGCGCAGAGGGTGGGGTCTAAGGGGGTCGCCCTGGATAACAGTATGCACCTTGGAAGTTAGCAAAAGCGAAGCTAATAGCTTATAAAAAACACATGAAATATATAAAATAAAATGATTTTCATATACATCTTAATTTAAAATAATTAATGCATCAAATCCCTGTTTTAAGACTTTAACCTGAATAGCAAATTTCAGAGTCCAGACTACTTCCTGTCACCGTGGCTCCTCCCCACGTGTGACACACACACTATCAAAAATAATTTAAAAACCTTCACATTCTTAAATCTAAATTAGTGAGATATCTCTCCAGAAATCTTCCAAATAAATAGCTTTAAAAAAAAGAAAGAATTTAAAGGCTGTTAACTTTAAAAAAAAATCTGTTAAATAAATTATCAATAATTCTTTACCCTACCGCGGAAAATAAATCAAGACACTACCAATAACACGAGCTTCAAGCCCTGAGGCGAGGCCTTTCCGGTTCAAGGTCTCCTTCAGGTCTCCCTCCTCCTCCCCACCAGGTCCGAAGGGTTATTGCTGAGTGGGTGTGGCACAGTGAAAATGCAGCATCGGGGTCACTTCGTTCCCGGGCAGTGTTCTCTACTGGACATGTCCATCTGTGTCCGGCGGGCGGCCAAGCGCCAGGCTCCTGCCCCACGACCGGCTCCAAGGGAAGGGCGGCGGCGCCAGCAGCGGCGTCACACGAAGAAGCGGGCGTGGCCGTTCCTGTTCAGCTTGAGGATCTTCCCGAGACGCTGTTTGGCTGTCGCCATGCCTTTTTTGGGGCGTTTGCCTGCAAGACACCAACCGCAGCGGGGCGTCAAGAGCAGCTTCCCAGACAGCACCAGGAAAAGCCCACTTTAAGGGCGAGGGATGTAGTCTCTCAGGGTCATGAATGGACCGAGTCACACTTGATTCTCAGAAGCCCCATTTCACCGCACTGGGGCCAAAGCCTTCAAAAGCCTCACAGGCCCTCCCCGCAGTCTGAGCCCACCTGCCTCCGTTCACATCTGCTCCCATCACGTCCTGTACCACGCGGCTCTTCAGCGACACAAGTCCCCCGAGACCGTGTCTCCCCTGGCGACCTGGGTCACGCCACCTCGCTGGCCCTTGGCTGGTTGACCCCCAGTGTGCTCACAGGGCCCACCTGCTCCTTCATGGCGCACAGGGCCACCCCAACCATTACGGAAGCCAGGTGTGCTGCTTCCATTCCCACAGTGGCCTGGACACTGCCTCGCTGGGGGCCACAATGCCTTTGGTGGTAAGTGACCCGGGCGAGCACAGGACTGCAGCCACGCGGCCACATCAGCCGTTCTGCAGTCAGAGCACATCTCACTGCCCCAGGAAACGTGGGCGTTACCTTTTGTTGCCTGGTTGCTGATAGGTGGTGGGTTGGACGCGGGTCTCTTGGTGGGGTGGAGGGGCACTGAGAAGGACATGTCACCGCCCGGCCTCTCTGGGCTGAGACTCCCACTGCTGACCTGGCAGGGCCCCGGGAGCAAGCTTGAGTTCTGTACACCCTTCCCACTCGGAAGGCCCGCCCCGCCGCCGTCCATGTGGCCCCGGCTCTGTCCCTTCTGCAGGAACTCGGAGGGACCTTCCTTCTTGATGACTCTCTGGCCTCTACTCGGATCCTGAGGGAGAGGGAAAGAACAAGCCGAGTGTGAGGGTCCGGAAAGATGAAGGAGTGGTTACCTAGGTGCACATCGGCAAAGTCAACAGAGAAAAGAGACACGTGGCTGGACTTGGCTCTTCTGGACACGTACTAGCCCGCCCTCCTGATGATCACGTCATTCTGGAAACCTAAGAGCTGCGAAGGAGTCAACAGCCAACACTGCATCGTAACTTAAGTCAAAAATAACAGAACACAGCAACGCAGACACGGAGCTGGGCTGCCCGCCAGGGCGCCCTCCCTCTCCTGTGCGCACACTGACCAGGCACCACGAGGAGCCGTCTTCTGCCAGCTCTCACCCTCTTGCTGGCCTCACAGGGGCCAGTACCTCAGAATTTCTCAGGGTGTGCACTTAGTGGTAGGGTTGTGGCTTCTTAGATCTAGTGGTTTGTAACTAGTTGCAGTTAAACAATACAATCACAAAGCTACTGATCATTCGAAATCTTTGAATGTTTCAAACCTTTAATATACCTGAGGATTCAATCTGGAAGTCGTATCAAATTGTTTAGTCCAAGAAGAAGCCCTCACGTCTTGATCCTCAGCCTTGACGTGGTGTCCTTAGGAGAAGTTTGATTACATTAGCTTCACTCAAACTTGATCTTAAAGAACAAAGTCAGCCTTATGCTTAAAATTAAGAGCAATTTTATCTTGACATTTCAGTTAAAGGTAATTATGTTAACTCTTCAAACATTCACTCATATACCTACAGCATACCCCTCCCCACCTCAGAGCAAATGCAAACCTGTCAGGAGCTCGCGGCTGCTGTTAGTTCTTTCAATTTTCGCAGACCGCCTTCTAAGCTAGCTGCTGCAGGGTCTAGAGGCAGAGCCTACGGCCTCCTGCAGCAGGTGCTAACCCAGCAACGCACCCTCTCTAAAGGTGGTGGGTTTCCACAGGAAGAAGGCCCACGGTGGCCTGGACTGTGTAGCATTTCCATAAAACCTGTCTTTTTGAGGAACCAGGGAGACTCCGGGGAGGCCTCTGGGGGCAGTGGAAAGACAGGCAGACCCAGATGTGGGTTTGGGCGCTGCTGTTACCAACGCAGCGTTAGGCAGGTCGTTTGGCCTCTCTGAATCTGTTTGCTCTTGCACGCTAAGCAAGGGTTCCCACTCCAGCACTGCCCCCGAACAGTCGTGTGAGTGCCGGCCAAGTCAGCCTCCCGAGGACTTCCTCTCTTTAGCTGTAAAATGGGGGTGTGCTCAAGAGCAAAGGGGACGGCTGTGAAGTCCCTGCCCTCAGCTCTGCGGGGACCAGCACCCTGGCCATAGCCCACATCCGCTTCCTGTAGTTGTCTCCTCCCCAGTCCTCCCGCGACTCTGAGGGGAAGCGTCTGCCCTGAAGGCACAGAGAAGCGGAGTCTGGAGCACCGCTGACCTGGCCACGGAGATGCTCACTCCCCTGCCTTCCCTTCAGGTAGGAGCCGACGCCCAGACCAGCTCCCCTTTCACACCCAGAAGACGAGGACTGGTCAAGCCTAGCAGACTATTTAAGACACCGAATCGCTCCTTCTCCAGGATCAACTTAACTGCTCGTCAGAGGGCAGCCCAGCCACCAGCCTGCGGCCCAACAGTGCAACACACCAGCAAGCGCGGCCCTCAGCCCCCGCGACCTCACCGTCTGAGGCCTCAGCCTTGTGTCCTTACCCAGCCTGTCAGCAACACATCATCTCTGGCTAGTCCCCTTGTGGCACAGTGAAGTGCCTGGTACAGCGAATTGTTTGCTACGGCCTTCTGGCCACGGTTTTGTGACTCCCACCAGATGACCGGCTGGAATCGTGGAAACAGGCAATGGAACTGTAACGTGTGGACTGGTCAGTTCAGCCAGTCAGTAGTCTTAAAATGAGCCATTCCAGAGATGGAAGCTTGTGTGGGAGGGAATCTCACTGCCACCAAGAAAGAAGAGCCAGGAGCAGAGCACGTCCTTGCACCAAAGGTCCTTGCGCTGAACCTTCTCGACCCGGGAGACAGGGCGCTGTAACAGTGCTCTCAGGCAGCAGACAACGCCATGGGCTTCCAGACCCACGGAGCGAGAACGCGCAGCACCTCTGGGCTGAGGCCAAGGCTCACTGCAGGACTGGATGCTTCCAGGCACCAACTGGCCAACTAAGGGAGCTGTGTAGCCCTTGCCCGAGCAGGGCTGAGGCCAGAGAGAAGTGTGCCTTGGCACAGCTGGGAGGAGACTGCCTGACTGAAGAACTGCTTCCCGAGTCGTTTCTGATCCTGTTACTTCCCTAATAAGCCCCATACCTGTGAGTGTTGTCTGTGAATTCTGGGTGGTCACTACAGCAAATTATCGAGCCCAGCAGAGAAGCAGTGAGTGGAGTGGGAGGGACGGCTGGTGTCAGGGTTAGAGGGGAGGCTGGAGGGTGACGGCCTGTCTGACCCTCTGCCTCACAAGAATCAGCCTCAGGCTGCTGAGGGTGGATCCTGCTTGGCCTTGCGAAGTTGGAGGAGGTCTCCTGACATTCTTACAATTCTTACCACCACATCCAACTCCATGTGCGATAAACACTGCTCACTGCTGACCTCTCACTTAAACTAGGTTGACAGCACACTTCAGCGGGGTCAGATGTGGCTTTTCAGGGACTGAGAATCTGTGTTCCTTACCACACCCCACAGGTTTGTCGACGCGACACAGTGGCCTGGCCTCGCGGTCCCGGCTATGGCAGCTGCTGGCGTCCTGGACAGCGTCTCTCTCTGTGCCACTGCTGTCTGTGTTCCGTGCCGGCCTCTGGATGGTGGAATAGTGCAGTCCCGCCATGGACAGCATGCCCTGGATGGCTTCTTCCTCTGTGCTGGTCGAGGTAGGGTACTCCCTGAGGAGCAGAGAACCAGAAACAAGCGCCCAGTTTCCTCTGGTGAATTGTCTGGTAAAATCTAAGACTAAAAAAAAACGTTCTCTCCTGGCATTGCAGTGCAGTAAGACTACCACTGTCGGCAAGCCTACCTTCTCACTGGAGTCTCACTTCTGGATGGCTTCTGGGTCTTCTGAGGGCGGGCCTTCATCACATTAGATTCCTCTGGAAAGTTTGATGTTATCTGCTTCTTCTCATCACCCGAACTTTCAGACTCTTCAGTGGTAAAGTTGTTTTTCTGAGATGACAAGCAGTTAAAAGTGACGTAAGTCCATACAAACCAAAAAAAGAAGAAAGACTAGGGAAAGCCCCTTAACCAGTAAAAGTAGAGTCTAAATTATTAATACATTATATATAATTATAAATTATATAATTATATAATTATAAATACATCCATGTATTTCATGAAAAAATATCATCTCTAGTAACTACAGGAATATAATCCATTGCCGTCAAATCAATTCCAACCCAGAGCGCCCCTAGAAGACAGAGTGGAACTGCCCCATAGCGTTTCCAAGGCTATCAATCTTCACAGAAGCAAAGCCCAAACCACACCCACCATAATCAAGTTGATTCTGACTCATAGCAATCCCATAAGACAGAGTAGAACTGCCCCATAGAGTTTCCAAGGCTCTGATCTTTACAGAAGCAGAATGGCACATTTTTCTTCCATACAGTGGCTGGTGGGTTCAAACTGCTGACCCTTTGGTTTGCAGATGAGCACTTTAACCACTGCACCACCAGAGTTTGAGTAACATGAGCCCTTAGTAAACACAGAGTATAGGTTTTCTTTAAGGTAAAATGTACTACAACCTGTGAGAAACAAAGAACAGCATTTGCAGGAAGCTCTCCTGCCTCCTTGTCCCAAACCAGACAAGAGCTACCTCGTCAACTGCAAACATACACAACAACTGGAAGGGAAACACTGAGAAGGTCCGTGCATTGGGAAGATGTCACCAATGTCACTCAACAATCTGTGTGGAAATCACAACAGGTGCAGGAGGGGGAAGCCCCTGGGCTAGCCATCAGAGGCCAGGGAAGCTATCACGTGCTGTAACCCAAGGTCCAGACAGACGGTGCCATCCGTCCGTCCCCGCGTGCAAAGGCCACAGGCTCCCGGCATACCAGTGCAGTGCAGTCGGGTCCAGAGTCTTCCGAGTCGGAAATATCCGAATATTCTGACGACCTATTCCTGAGTTCTGACTTCACGCTTGTGTAAAACCCTGAGAAAAGGGGAGGGGACATGTGAGAAGGAGAAAGTCACTAGAACTTCCTGGACCAGGGGGGTCGCTAAAGCCCGTCTGGCTTCCTCAGACCTCCCCCTCCCCTGTTTGTCCCTCTGTTCTTCCCAGAGGCTTCCTCCCTGACCCATCACGACGCAGACTGAAGGTTCTTAAACCTGTGTGGCATCTACTGAACGTGATCACGTTCCTTATTTGAGTGGACTGTTTCCCACTTCTTTCCAGGAAAACACCTCCAAAACTAAAGTTAGATGTAAGATGTTTTTCACGCATTAGTGGTCTCAACAGAAAACAGAAAGACAGCTCTCTAACCCTCAAAAGCACTCCAATGCAGCGTGGGCCCCACAAGACCCTAAGTGGGGCTTTCTCTCTGCCTCCGCCACCCCCACAGTCCCACGGCCAGCAACTGTGAGCACCGTGGCGTTGCCGCCCTTCCCTGGTGCCTGCACCGCCATCACACAGTAAGTTCACCTGCAATCGGCAGCCACTGATGGCGAGATACATGCTGCTATCTGGGGCGTTTAACTGTCAGCTACCAACCTTCTCATGTTAACTGCTTTTGAAATAGTAAGGGACACAGAGGCCTAGCAAGAGTGAGAAATTAAGACTCACTCAGTGAGGTCAGATCTGAAGGAGGAGAGGGTGGTGTCTTGTCACCCCGATGATAACCAATCAGAATCCAAAGAGAGGCAGGCTTATCAATAAGCAATCAAATAAAAGTACCACCCGTGGGCTACTAACAGCTTCAAATCGACCAACGACACAGGCCTCCCAAGTCTGAAAGTCACAGGGACTTCAGCTAAAATTACGTATGAAATGAGTGCAGCACATGAGACTGGCAGCTGGGTCACTTCTGGGGGAGGGGCACACGTGTGATGAGATGCACAAGCACCCAGGGGACCCACTCAGAGCCCAGTGATGCTGTGGCACGGGGTCACGACCCCACAGTAGGGTCACGACGTGGCCATCCCTCACACTGCCTCCCAGGCTGGGCACTGCAGCGGTTGGCGGTTCCGGGGGAGGAACTCCTCAGCAACACCTCAGATTCTTTGAGTATCCGAGACACAAAACTCGTCAATCCCTGACAGCATTAAGACGTGTGAAGTTAGCGAGTTCCTTGCGCGTCATCACAAGGTGATAGGGACCCCTCAGTGGCCTTCTCCCACACACGTACTGCTAGGCGGCGTTCGAGGGTCCTCGCTCTCCACCCCGTCTGGTCCTGAATGCTCTTCCATCTTCCTTTTTATCTTTTTTGTTCTCCTTTTCTCCTCTTCACTTTCACTCTCTGCTGTATAAAGGCTTGGGTCTGTGAGCGGCTGTCTCTCATCTCTGTATCAGAGGGTGAAACAGTCAAGTCAGAGAATCGAGCGAGACCCTGGACCCCACGGCTCCCTCTCCATTGTCACGGACACTGTGCCCACGTTCCAGCAGCTGCACAGGGCTTAGCAACAAAGGGAAGCCCCCAAAAAACCAACCAGTCTGCTCCTGAGACCTACTTTACATACTTGATTATCCTCCCGTTCGTCAGCAGTAAGCGAAGGTCGTTGTCTTTTGCCCTCCACTCAGGCACCGTGGAGGACGGCTGGAGGTGTTTGTTGAATTTCCCATTCAGTTTGGAGCTCGACACGTCCTGGAAGTACAAACACAGAACGTTCTTCACCTCACCTCAACCCCACCTGTCTGACCGAAGAGCTGCAGCTGAGCCCCTGGCCTTCTCAGCCCATGCGCGCAGGGACATGCAGGAGTCCGGCCCTGCAGGGACCCAAACCCATGGCCTGACAGGATTCCCTGCTCTGTACAGTGGAACACCAAGTCTGCACAAAGCGAGTTCACAGCCACTTCCCTCCTACCAACAGCCGGAGGAGGACCACTGGGATGGATGTCCACGCTCTCCCCTTACCTCTTCCTTCTGGGGTCCAGCTGTGGGCCTCCCCCCAACTCCCACCACCACCACCACCACGCTTCCCACCACTGTGCTCCCTAAACCCAATCCCAGTCCTCCCATGGCCCCACCAGCAGCACCCAGGAACAGCCTGTTGCCCCATGGACACAGACCGCCATAGGTGGCATGCGTCAGTACCAACAGGTTCCTTCACACAGAAAAATCACTGCTTTTCTGTGGCAGCCTTCTCCCATAATCATAAATAGAACCTCATAGTAAGCTAAATCCTTCCCAGATGTCAGAGTTAAAGAGGGTTAGGACAACAAAATCTTCAAACAATCTAATTACATGCAACTAATTCCTATATAACTTTTACCTTAAATTCCGAAACACCTTTCTCATTGTAGATTCCTGCCCCTCTCCCTAAGCTGTAAGCTACAGGTGAGTGAGGTCTGCTCAGGTCTGCAGGGACCTCAGTCCCCGGGGCCAGGACTCCTCCAACTGCCCAGGTTACATGGATCACCCGGGATCCTGTCCAAATGGCAGCTGTGGCTCTCACCTAACCCTGGCGGCAGCGCCCTGGGTGGTACTGCTGGTTCAGGGCGGGCTCTCTGCATTCGCACCCCCTGCCTGCAGTGCCGTCCCTCAAATCCCCATGGCCTGACTCCGTGCCAGGATTCCACGGCCAGTTCACATGTCACTGCCTGAGAGGCGCCAGCCACCCCCAGCCCCTGCGGGCCACTGCTCTGTTTGGTCTCCCTCGCATCACTGGTTATGATCTGAAATTATGCATCACAGGGGCCTGAAGGGTGGCAGTACCCTTCCGACCTCAACCAGAATTGACACATCACCAGGGCTGGCACTTTGGTTACTATTCTGGTATCTTCCTCAGAGCCTGGAAGAGCACGCACACACGGCCCTTGCAGACATGCCGTAAGCAGGGAGTACAGACTCCTGCCTCCACCAGGCACCTCGGAAGAGCAAGCACCACCGTGGCAGGCCTGACGACCGGCGGACCCCCAGGAAGAGCGGAGTCAGTCAGGAGAAGGGCCGTTGGCGTGCGTCCGAAGCCCTCCAGGGAACGAGGCGCCCTGTGCCCGGGGGCGCAGCCCTCACCTCTTCCCACGGACACATCTCCAGCCTCTTGAGGACCGCCCTCGTGTGCAGCTCCAGGATGTCGAGGTTGGAGGGGGTCCGCACACTGTGATCGCGAAGCCTCCGCATCTTCCGTCGGGAATGGTGTGGGGAGGCTGCCTCGTGTGAGGGTCGTGAGACTGGACACATGGGAGGGATTCCCTGAGATTTCACTGGCTTGCCGTTTTCCTCCTGTAAGTATTAAATTCAGAGCATACTTACGGCAGGGCTGCACACACGCCTGAGAAATCATGAAAGTGCTGTCGGAAACAAAGCCACTCCATTTCCTCACAGAGAAACAAGGCCGGTCTCCAGACTCCAACTGCTCTGCGGGCACCTCCCCCCTCCTCTCCTCCTCCTGCCTCGACTTCAATGTCGGTGTAAAGACAGGGTCACATGCGCCACAGTGGACGGAGGCAGGGTGGGGACACCTCCCCCCTCCTCCTGCCTCGACTTCAGTGTCGGTGTAAAGACGGGGTCACGTCCGCCACAGTGGACAGAGGCAGGGTGGGGACACCTCCCCCCTCCTCTCCTCCTCCTGCCTCGACTTCAGTGTCGGTGTAAAGATTCTATCGGGCCTGCTGCAGTGGACGGAGGCACGGTGGTGCCAGGTTAGTCACTGGGAACTGTTCAGCTGCTTCCCAGTTCTCCTACGACGAAAATTCTCTCACATACATGTTCATAATCAGTAACTATTTAAGTCTAAGTTGCACATACATGTCGTTTTAGAAACAAAACCCTATAGAAGGCCTATGGTGACAATCAGCCGTCTATTCTCCTCACCGCTGATGCCACCTCCAGAGGCACCCACTACAACTTTCAAAGCTGGTCTGTTTTTCTACTTACCAACTCCAAATTTCTTTATATAAACATATGTTGTTGTTAGG